ACACGAAAAGGTAATCCGGACAAAAAAAATATTACAAGGTGAGATGTGAATTTCGAAAATGGGTAAAAACGAAGCTATGAATGATGAAAATGTGGAACGAGCAAAGTTGAAATTGATCCGAAATCTGATTTGAAGTGTGTGTGTGTGTGTGTGTGTGTGTGTGTGTGAGTGTGTGTGTGAGAGAGAGAGAGAGGGTGAAAAGTTGTGCCGGTTTTATTTATTTATTCGGAGGCAGAGTGATGCGCGTTGGCATAGTGATGCCCACCGACGCGACTGTTACTTGGTGGCGGGATAAGCGCAAACTGTACCCTGAAAATAGACATGGCCGGGCAATGGTTCCGGTACCCATTTTTTTTTTTTTTTTAACTGAAAATGGCTCGGCGGCAATAGTTATGGACCGGCCCGGTGGACCGAGTTCGATTTGGGTTGAACCGACGGGCCTTTACTTTTTTTTTTTAAGAAGAAGAATTGGAGGGAGAACATAAAAATTAAATTTGGAAATACAACTTAAGTTGAAATTTTTTTAGTTAAAAGATAATATTTGAATTTATAACAAGTCAATTAAGTTGTTTGCTTTGGTAGTAAAAGTCCACGCAGTTCGCTTACTTTACTCAATTTGATGAAAGAAGATATAGGATGATGCATTGAAGGATATAATAATCGTAGATGTAGTCGTACTCGCCGTCTTCGATTTCGACGATTCCACTAGTACTAATAAAATCATCAAGCTCTTTGTCATCCTCTTCAGTTAGAATGGTCGTTTGTGCCTTTCTTTCGTCATTTTGCTGTCCCTCAGCAGCATTTAAACAAGCGATATTAGCAGCAGTGTGAGAGTTATTAAATCCCGCATAAGCAATTAAACCGTTAGTAATAAAAAATTATCATCTACCAGATGACAATTAATTCCATATAATGACTTTCTTGCCAATGATAGGACAAAATATCATAACAAATTGAAACTTTTCAGTTTAAATTTTCAATAGTTTACGCCAAAATGATTTTTTCTCACCCATTATATTTCAAGTATCGCGGGTGAGATATGTGAAACCCGAGTCGCAACTTGGTTTATAATTTGAGCAAAACATTCATATAAGTCAGAATCACCAAAACCAAAAGAAAGAGATCAAGCATAAACTAATTTAGTTAGATGACGTCTATAGTTTATATCATATTATTGAAATAAAGAATAAGAGAAGAGGAGGAGGAGGAGGGTAGATCCAGCTGCACTGCTACTTCTTCGAAATTGAGTTTGGCTTGAGTCAATCCCAATTTCGGTCAGATGATAGGTCTGTATGTGTCGTTGCATGGTGTAATATCAAACAAAACTATTACTGTAAACAATTTCTCAAAATGTGTTAGGAGTGTCTTTATTTCAAGTAAGTTAATAGTTAAATGTAATACTGTTAACATCAAAGGTCCAAAAACCCAAATTGAAAATCTGATATTAATATATATATATATATATATATATATATATATATTTGAATTACTACAATTTATTATTGTAATATTTTGAACTTAAATTAGTAATACAATATAAGTTAATGATAAATATACATACATGTATATAATTATATGTACAATTATATATATTACATATAAAATAAATAAAAAATTATATATTAATAAAACTGGTTCGACCGGTTCGGCCACTGGTCGGACCTGTGAACCAGTGAACCGGTAGCTTCACCGGTTTAATGACCGGTTCGGTTTTAAAAACCATGCTCTTTTGTGTTGATTCTTTCATTTTCATTCAAACACTTTTGTGATTAGTACTTAGGGATTAAGTACAATTTTTTCTCGAGGGATTCGAGAGGTTGAAGTCCACGGGACGTGGCCGGAGAAGTAAATGATAGATTCGAGTATAGTTGTGGCTAGGATAGAAGGGAGTTCTAGTTTGTATCTAAAATGTACACGTGTGCACAATCAAGTTGTCAATTAAAGAACTCTGAGGGGTAGTGGGACGCTCCCCTTAGAGTTCTTATATAATGTTGTGCTTCCGCTATTTCAACTTTTCTGTATTGCAACATATATTATTCTAATTCGTGTTCTAACACAAGTCTGGCACTTTAAACTCTAAAAGTATACTTTTCAAAATGGATCATTTTCAACATCCAGTTTTTTATTCACCATCGAAGTACTAAGAGGATTAGACGTGTCCATATTAAATCGTTTCAGTACTCTTTTAGGGTGGGTTTGGTAGCATTTTTGGATTGGGCTTGATATAATCCACACTACTGGGCCCCAGGTATAAAGAGGGATTATATCTCCTTTAATATCATGTTTGCTTTCATATTTGGTCCAAAGGATTACAACTTATCATTTGTTTGGTTGCCTAAAAATTCATCAGTTTCAATTGGGCTTTTCAAAATTTTGTTCCTGAACTCCCAATTATGCCCTTATGTACAAAGAACAAAAAACCAAAAGCCATACGGGAAAACTGATTTCGCCGTCGATCTAGGTCATCGACTACTGCAAGAAGGGTGAATTGATTCTTGCAACTGACCCAAACAATTGCGTGTCCACTGAAAGGAATTTGAATCGGCCAAAGGGGAAGCGTACCAGTGAGTCATGTTGTCTCATTCCCGGTGAGTCTATTTTCTAAAAATAAGTTCATATAAAAATATCAGTAGAATATCGATATGCAAATTGAGCATCTTTGTCGTATGGAATTAGTTCCTTTCATTGGTGTTGTGGCATTACAAATTTATACCAGTGTTTAATGCAAGCGGGTATGTTGATTATTTGTTGAATTTCCAAGAGACTATTGGTTTTAACGATATAGAGGAGCCAAATGGCGAAGGAGAAGTATTTTATATCCAGCAGAGTATATCCAATTTCGAATAAATCTGAAATTGCTTATTAACTTTGTTTTTATTGGATTTTGTAAAGGCAATATGACAACAAATTTCAAATTTAATAGTTAGAAATTGAAGGGCTCTGCATTTTGTAGATATGAAGAACTGTAAGTTGTTGGAGTAAATAAGATTCTTACATTGGTGCTCTTATTGTAATATTATGCATCTCCATTGCCCCATTGGATTTCATTAGTTGTGTCTATCATGTTCACCTGCATAATAGTATTTTAGTGAAGGCATATGTTTTTGTTTTTCCAGGAAAAATATAAATGAGCTCTTCAAGTTCAACAAGGAGAGGAGCAGATGTTCTTTGTGATTGCGGTAAGGTTGCTCGTATAACAACTGCATGGACACCTGCCAACCCAGGAAGGAGGTTCATGGATTGTAGTGAAAATAGTTGTCTCTTTTGGAATTGGTTTGACCCTCCGATTTGTGCAAGATCAAAAGAAATAATCCCCGGTTTGTTGCGTAAAATAAACCGGTTAGAAGCTGAAATGAATCGTCAAAATGTCGAATGTGCAACTGAACTTCAAGAGAAGGAGATGTGCAAGAAAAAGATGAAGAAACTGGAAAAAGATATTGCTCAGCTAAAGAAGAAGAATAAATTTTTACTAATTTTACTTCTAATCTCAATGGTGTGGATGTATATCATGAAATAAGCAGATTTGAAGGTGACTTTGTATGTCCTGTAGTATGGAACAACATTCTGTAACGCAACCGTGTTTTGAATGAACATTTTGTTGTTTTGTCGTATATTTTTTTTATGTAAATAGCTATTGGAAGTGTTGAACTACTTGTAATTGAATATTTACTATTTTTATCCGTAGTTGATGTATTTTTTAACCGTGTAATAGAAATTGTTGTGTTGCGGTTGTTTTGACTGAAAAGACTACTTCTATTGTGAAAATTTTTTCAAGGGAATGAGAAATGTCAGCAGACACAGGTTTTTGATGAATCTTGAACCACAATTACATTGTTTTACAAGTTACTAAAAATACTTCCACAACCAAAACAAACACTGATACACCTATACAAAAATTAATAAAACTTCAATATCCTTTATCTTCAAGGCTCAGAACCCCAATTAATTAAATTACTTGAATTAATTATTGATAACTAACACTACATACACTTGACTAACATAATGCAGAGAAATCAAAGGAAGCCATTTATCTTCTTAACTCAGATTTTACTTACACTTGTGGTCTACACTGCAAAGCATCAAATTATTTACTT